ATAAACTCTTTCTGAGTATTCGTATATTGTCAGAATAATTCTCTTTGTCATCGTCGTCTTGTTTTAATTTCTCGAGAAAAAGAAATAAAGTAAAGGACAATGTTTTTGATTACTTGATACTTCAATTTCCAAACAAAAGGAAACTTAATTGTTGGAGCAAAAGTTTTGCATTAATTTTGTTTTCTTCATCGATTGCTGTGATGGAACCATACAGAGATTTCATCTGTTTCTGTTAAAAAAAGCAAAGCATCTAGTGTGAGAGTACACAAATGAATATCATTAAAAAGATTTGAGAGAGGTTACACAAGCTTTAGAACAGAAAGCATTGAAAAACGGTTCCGCAACTATTGTGAGACTTTTCTACTCCGAAAATATTTGTGTGAGCGTTTTCTTCATCATCATGCAAGGGTGTGCGTGTGAATTTGAGTGAAACAACAAACACCCACACCCACATCCACACCCCACACCTCACTCTATTCTAAGAAAGCTACGTAACGTACTAAAACAATAATTTATATGCTATCATTCGTGTCATTTGCACAAAAGAGCAAATGATACATTAGATATCAATCGAATTTATTGCAATCGGGTGTGGGTCTGGGTGTGGGTTTGGTAGGGTGTGGGTGTGCGTATAGGCGTGTGTGTGTATGAAGATAACACACCCACATCCAGAGTCACACCCCACACCCCATGCCCACACCTACATCCACATCCACACCCACACTCACTCACACCCACCCTCAAGATTCGCAAAAAAAATATAATTTCGTCTGATTATTCGCTCTTTTTTATGTGGATGTCTTTTTCCGAGATGTGAACATGAAACCACTAATTTAGAATTATTTCTTTTGATTCCTCGTACCCATAAACAGTATAATTGTTGTTCAGCCAAACTAGGTATTTCTTGTTACGTTGGAACTCCTATATAAATTTTGTCAAGTAGAAGTTGCATAATTACACTAAACATCAATTAAAATAGATTAGTGTCCAAATTCGAACCGTAAGCCATTATAATCCAAAATAATCAATTGTAATAAATTAAAACGGCCCGTCTCATATTATAATCCAAAATGATAAATATCAGTTAAATAGATCGTACTAAAAATCCTAATTTAAAAAACAGATATTCTAGTCTATTACATACTGATTACTTGCATAAAAAATGTCCCATTTAGGTTCTTGACAGGAGGTAGGAGTCTTTTAAAATCATCTCTGTAATAACAATGAATTACTCTCTCTAGTATTCAACTCTACATTAACAACAGAGATAAGAATCCCATTACTCTCCTGACCTTTATAAATGTTGAGAGCTAAAATTTCTATTCAATTTGTCACTTGGAATCAGAGTGACTAATGTTTTCAATATCAACAATCAATCGGACGTTCACCGATACAATCTTCGCCAATAGCACCTTTATTAATGATGAAAGTCCGAAGAATCCATCGACGAAACTTCAGAACTTCATATCAACGACTAGTACTTCTTACATTAAAATAGAACACTCTTGTAAATAACATTTTTATTGCTTCTGAATAGAAGGTTGCAGAGAAAAATATATTATACTTGAAACCACTTTTGAAAATCAAAATTATCAGCTATTACCGATCACAATTCGAATAACTATTGAACTGTCATAGAAAAAAGCTTGTTAGCGCAGCTCTCCTTTGGGGCTGAAATGTAGAACTCACATATCTCCTTTGGTTTCATTATACTAATGACAAAATACCCAATATTTAAAATCTCCAAAAGATAATAGTTCTTTTCTAAACATAATCGATTATTAGAAAATGCTATGATTTTATCTCTCAATTTCGAACAGAATTTTTTTTTCACGAAGTTGCCAAGTTCTGTAATGGGGGGTTGTCTGTAATAGTAGCCTATGTTGCTATGGTCTGTAATGGAGGTATGTCTGTAATGTTCTCTTTTCCGTTGCTATGTGTCTGTACTGGGGTGGGGGGAGGGAGAGAGGAGAAGCCGCCAACCTCGAACTGAAAACTTACACTCACTATTTTTTTCGAAAACATACGTGAGTTTCACAAAATAGTTTCTTGGAACACAGGCATTATATGGATTAAACTTGATTCTATTTTTCATGAAGTTGTCATTCATTGGAAGCCCCTTAGAATACAAATGTACAAACTGCAAAAAAATTTTAGTTATTCGACTTCTAACCTCTTGTTCAGATTTTAATGATAAGATAATAGATTACGAATTTAATCAATTAAAATGGATTTGATTTCCAATCTATTCTTCAGATTTTCTTTGGTTAATAAGTTATAATTGATTATTAATTTAAACAATTTTGAAAAATTCTTATTTTAATCATTTATTAAGACTACCTCAAATAAAATAAATTTTAATGGATTATTTTTATAATTCATTAAAATCGATTATAATATATTACGGTCATAATCAATTAAAATAGATGTAAATTTTTATCTATGCAATGGATTTTCGTAGTTGAAACCAATTATAATTGATTTTTTTTTAATGAAATAATCTATTCGATTTTGTTATTTTCCTTGATTTAATCAGAAAATGCTTTGTTTAATCAATTTTTATAATTATTCGCAAAAAAATCAAATTTAATCTGATTATTGACTCGATTTTTTTTAGATGGGTATATAGACGAAACAAAATATTTTGCAGTCAT